ATACGAAGTTTCTAAATTTTCTAAAGGCCAAATTTAGTAACTTAGGTTCAACTGGAGATATAAAATTCTTCCAGATAAAATCTTCTTGACCTGTGAAATTTACTGAGATATATCCAAAAGGAATGTCATATAATCAAATTAAATCTGTCAAGATTTAACCACCAGCAGCACCTGTTGTACACAGACTAGGATGTCAAAACATCTTTCTTTGACATCTGGTTGAAAATACATAACAGTTGAAATGTCATGACAGTTGATGAAGATGTTATAAAATCTTGCTCAACATCAATAGAACCATGTTTTACCAAAATTTATCCAATCATAAAACCATGGAACTAACAATATATTCATGAAATGTTTAAATTTGTAGACTAGGAAATAACCTGAGGGATACGAGTGTGGGTACTACATAATGAAGTACATGTTTAACATCGTCTCTGTCGGCATTGTTTATTCGTGGGATCAGGTATCTATGATTTCATGAAATATGTTTACAATAACATATTAATATTAAATTAATTTTCTATTATAATTCAAATCACGTGATATTCAAAATTTTCACTTGTTTATGTAGAAGTTCAAAGACAAGACACCTTTCTCTCCAGATGACTTAGACGACGTCCGTAGACGTTGGTAGTTTATTTTCAATTTTTTGGTTGAAAAGGGGGAGGGGGGGTATTGTATGACTTTATATTTGATAGTTGTATATATATTTTTGTTGCTTAATTTGATATTTTATGAATATTTAGCTAATATATGTATAATATATAGGTTATATATTTTGTATGCATGTTATAATATACACAGTATTTTGTATACATGTTAATTATGAAAAAATACAGGTTTTTAATATATGGAAAAACAAAATAAATTTAATAAACAAAATACTTAATCACGATTATTTATGCCAACCGTTGTTAAAGATAGAGCGCAAAAATATTATAAACTATATAATCACTGGGTTTCGAACTTATGACCTTTCGCTTTATATCGCAACAGTTGTATAATTTGACTGTTGTGATATATAGCGTGTTACCTAGTTTATCACAATGGCAATATGCCCGTGATGGAAAACATCATACATACAGTAACACCTTACCTCACAATGATTGGTTGGACGTGGTTGTATCCCTTTTCCAACCGTTATGGTATGTGTTTTCCGTATTATTGGCTTCAAGAAAAAAGATTTGAATCAGGAAACAAGACTTGGATAGGGAAGGTTTTTGTCAAAAGAACCACAAAGGAATGGATGAGTCCATATCTCAAAACTGTCAGGAATCTGAATCGTTGAATGATCAACCTCCTAAGAAAAGGAAAGGTAAGATTATCTTTATTTCTGAGTGTTGTGTTTTGTATCCTGATATAGATTAGCTTGTTTCCATTAGAAAAATGGTTAGATTTCACACTAAACACCCCATGTCAAAATTTATATCATATTCAAATTTGTCTTCATCTCTGTATGCCTTCACCTCAAAATTATCTAATGTAGAAATTCAAAAAAGTATACAGGTTGCTCTAGAAATTCCAATGTGGAAGGAAGTCCTACTTGAGGAGATGAAAGCTCTTGAAAAGAACAAAACTTGGAGTGTTACTACACTACAAGATGACAAGAAGACAGTTGGATGAAAATGGGTGTTTACTGTGAAGTATAATTCACATGGTTCAATTGAAAGTTACAAGGCTCGCTTGGTGGCTAAAGGATTTACTCATACCTATGGAATAGGCTACTTAGAGACATTTTCTCATGTTGAAAAATTGAACATTATCATAATTCTTTTGTCTCTTGCTGCTAACATGGACTGGCCCCTACATCAGTTAGATGTAAAAAATGTCTTTCTCAATGGTGATCTAGAAGAAGAAGTATATATGGACATTCCTCCTAGCTTTAAAAACAAATTTAGATCAAATGTATGCAAACTAAATACATTTTTGTATGAATTAAAGCAATTCCCTAGAGCTTGGTTTGAAAAATTTACTCAGTCCATGAAGTAACAAGGGTACATTAGACTAACCATACCTTGTTCACAAAGTTCTCTCACGATGGGAATTTTTTTGCCCTGATTGTCGATGTTGATGATATTTTCCTTACTGGAGATGATACAGTCGAAATGGAAAAAGTAAAAGAGAAATTAGTAGTAGATTTTGAAATCAAGGACTTGGGATTCATGAGATATTTTCTTGGTATGGAGGTTTCTCGTTCAAAGAATGTTATTATGGTTTCATAGCAGAAATACATTCTATAATTATTGAAAGAAACATGAATGAGTGGATGTCATCCTATGGATCCTAATGTTAAACGTCGAGGAGAATGTAATGTTTCCTGTTGATATTGGAAGATATTAGATATTAGTTGGGAAACTGATTTATTTGTCACACACCTGACCTGATATTGCTTTCTTATAGTTAGTGTAGTAAGTCAGTTTATGAATTCTCCTTATGAGGAACATCTTGAGGAAGTCTATAGTTGTTGAGATATTTGAAGGGAAATTTCGGAAAAGGCTTATTTTTTAAGAAGACTAGTGAAATAAATGTGTATATCTTGATTGATGTGGATTGAGTCATAAATAGAAGATCAACCTCTAGATATTGTACCTATGTTTGAGGTAATCTTTTAACATGGAGGAGTAAGAAACAAGGAGTTGTAGCAAGAACTAGTGTAGAAGCCGAGTTTAGAGATATGTCTCAAGGTATTTTTGAAGGATTATGGATCCTTATATCTCTAGAATAACGTAAGATGAAAATTGAGCTTATATTGAAATTATACTCTCAAAGTATAGATTTTATTAGCATAGCTTATAACCTATTTCAACATGACATAACCAAGCATATTTTGATTGATCCACGCTTCATAAAAAAGAAGTTAGATGCTGCAATTATATGTCTACCTTTTGTAACTTCAAGTCAACAAACTGCAGATATCCTGACCAAAAGTTTGGAAAGACCTACCTTTGAGCATTTGATAGACAAATTGGGCATGATAGACATTTACGCACCAACTTGAGGGGGTGTTGGAAAATACATTAGTCTTTTATTTCCTTTTTTATTGTTTTCTAGACAATTTCATTAACCCTGTTTATTTTCCTTTAATTTCCATTAAGATAATTTATTGTAATTTATTATATTCCCTATTTATAAACCAGCTTTTGGTCGAGGAATAAAACATAACATCATTTTACTTATTATGATGTTAAAACAAAAATTTATAAAATTAAGAAGAAAAAAAGAGTTTTACTCTCGGTTGTTTCACTAAACCAAGGCAAAAAGACTACATACATATATTACCTCGGTTAGCAGTTCACTTTATGGGAAAAGTGGAAAGCACTTTCTAGTTTTGAAAATACAAAAATATTGTGTGTACAAGTCAAAAGGATTCGAATTTAAGATCTTTATTTTCAACTTTCGAATGTAACTAAATTGTTTATATTTATAAATCAACAACTTAAAAAAAATGATAGAGACATTTTGATAGTGAGTTAAAATAAACTATTATGTGGTATGGACTATTTGAATGTTTACAAAGTAAATTTATTTTTTATCTAACAAAGATGGTTGGTAAACGGGACCGACCTAATCAAATTAGAGATCTCATTCTAACTTTAAAAATAGGCCTAAATTTATTATAAAAAAAATACAATTATAATAATTAAAAATAACACATGAAAATATATAATTATATATTAATAAAAAAATTATAATTATAATTATTTTAACTCTACTCAATCTCATTTTTTTAATGTATTAAATTTTTTATAGTATCATTTTATAATTTATTGAATTTTTTTATAACATTTTTTTGTTTATTAATTTTAATATAAAAAAAATTGAACAGTTTATAAATTAGGGGCCCTCTAAAATTTGGGGCCTTGTACTGTGGAGCTTGTTCCTCCTGCATAGGGTCGGACCTATTGGTGAATCACTGGATGAACTTGATTAGTTGTCTGTTTTGAAAGTGGGTTCGTTCGCTTGTATCGAACATTGATTTTTTGTTGTTGGATTGAGAGCAAGACTCACTAAGATGCTTAAGTAAATAAGTGTTGGGGGGCCAACTACTCCCTTTTTACTTGTTGATAACCTTTTTCACTTTCCTTCATCCGACTCGTTCGAGAGATTTCTTGCTTAAGTCTTGGCGCCGCAAATCTGTCTTAAATTCCTCTATTTTTCTATAATTGTGTTTGACAATGTTTTTGCAGTTTCTTTTTCTTTAGAGTACTTGTGGTGATCTTTATTAGTATTTGCATTGTGGAAAATGAGCGTACAAAATTATATGCTTTTTGGATGGATTATGCACGACACTAAATTGGAATAAAAAATAGAAAGTAGGTGAAATGAATATCCAAAACAATCAATATGTTGATTGTATCACAATCGAGTTACATGAGTTGTGTAAAATGAACAACATCAATATAGTAAGAAATCTAATATTACAATACATGTTTAATCAACACGAAGAGCGTTTTGAAGTCTTAATCTAACAAAACCTAAAATTCTCAACAAAATCGTTATAAATATGATAAGCACTAACCACATGCGATTCTAAGAAGGAAATAAACCTAAACATGCAATTCTAAACAAAATTAAAATAGAGAGAAAGAAAGAAGATAAAACGCCGAATATATATTGGTTTGAGAATTCGTCTTCGTTATACCTACTCCACTCTCCAATGGTTTCCCATTAAAACTTTGTTGTTCTTCCACTATGATTTTGACAAATTTACAGAGAGTCATTTTATACAATCATAATTTAAATAAATGTTAAACTTTGACGAGCAACTTACACCTATTTAATTCAATTAGCGAGCTACTTCGCTCATTCAAAATAACTCTATTTTGTTTTATTTTGATTTTATTTTATTTATATTAATTAACACTGATTTCTTAATCTATATATACATGCATACACATAGACTAAAAGCATAAGTTCTCCTCTCAAACACACACCTAGCCTAAAAGCATCAAGTTCTCCATCTCCATATTCATCCACACACCATTTTGATTGTATCAATGGAACAGGTTAAGCCTGTGAATTTCATTACAGTTCTTAGCATTGATGGCGGAGGAGTCCGAGGAATCATTCCTGGTGTTGTTCTTGCCTATCTTGAATCTCAACTTCAGGAGATAGATGGTGCTAATGCAAGACATGCAGATTATTTTGATGTAATTGCTGGAACAAGTACTGGTGGTCTCATTACAGCCATGTTAACTGCTCCTAATCCAAACAACCGTCCTTTATTTGCTGCCAGAGAAATCGTTCCATTTTACCTTAAAAACATGCCACTTATATTTCCACAGAATAGGTATACTTATAATTAACTGTGATATTAGAACTTTAGAACTTGAGAACATTAATTGAAGAACAAATTAATTACCGTTGAATTACTATTCAATTTGCAGTGGAATATTTGCACCGCTGGTGAACACAGCGAAAGCTTTAACAGGACCTAAGTACAACGGAGAGTATCTCCAGAAGACAATAAAAGAGATGACAGAAAATACACTTTTGAGCCAAACTGTCACAAATATTGTTATTCCATCTTTCGATGTTGAAAAACTTCAGCCTACCATTTTTTCTTCCTATCAGGTATTGGCGTTGATTCTTGTTTTTTAATACAAATAAGGTGTTATATCTAATCAGACTTCAGACAAAACTTTGTATATATATATCTCTTGTTTTAAAATAAAATACACTTTTGGTCTTTATATAGACCTAATGGCTTTTACAATTCTAAAAAATCATAACTGCTACTAATAAACTATCATAACTTACTAAACTTTTGTCCTTCCTACTACCATATTTAATATGAAACTTATTACTAATGACATTTAATGTTTATTCAACAAAAATTCTCTGTAAACTTAAATGTTTCTTCCATCCAGCATTCCTATCATCTTCTTGCCTCTGTCGAAGATCTCTTTTGACAGTGGTTTTGTAAAAATATCCGCAGCTTGGTTTCTGCTTGCTACATGCCCCAATTCGACACTTCCCTCCTTCACATGTTCACGAATGAAGTGAAATCGAACATCAATGTGTTTGCTTCGTTCATGATTCACTGGATTCTTCGCCAATTCGATAGCTGATTTATTATCCACTTGTATTATTGTTGGATCTTCCTGTTTAAGCTCCATCTTGCTTATCAACCTTCTGAGCCATACTGCATGACAGACGCACCAGGATGCTGCCACCTATTCAGCTTCACACGTCGAAAGTGTTACTATAGGTTGCTTCTTCGACAGCCAAGTAAATGCTGTGTTTCCCATGAAAAACACATATCCAGAGGTGCTCTTTCGATCGTCTATGTCTCCGCACCAGTCACTGTCAGAATAACCAACTAACTTGTAGTCTTTTGTTTTTGAATAAAACATTCCTAGTGATATTGTTCCTTGGATGTATCTTAGAATCCGTTTCAGTGTCTTCCAATGTGTGTGTACTGGCTCCTCTATGAATCGACTTACTATGCCAACACTTAGTGAAATGTCTGGCCTTGTACATGTGAGATATCGAAGGCTACCTACCAAGCTTCGATATTTGCTTCCTTCAACCCGTTCTCCTCCATCAAACTTTGACAGTTTTGTACCTGGTTCCATTGGCGTCGAAGTTGGATTGCAATTCTTCATTTTATATTTTTCTAGGATTTCTTTTGCATATTTTTCTTGTGACATAAAAATTCCAGCTTCTTCTTGTCGAACCTCCAGACCAAGAAAGAATCTCATCAGACCTAAGTCTGTCATTTCGAATTCGCTTGTCATGGTGTTCTTGAAATCTTTGATCATCTGAACATCACTGCCTAGAAAGATAAGGTCATCAACATAGAGAGCAACAAGTAATAAATTACTTCCATTTTTCTTCACATAGAGGGCGGGTTCATAAGGACATTGCTCGAACCCATTCTTTTTGAAATATGTGTCAATACGTGTGTTCCATGCCCTAGGTGCTTGCTTCAGCCCATACAGCGATTTCTTTAGTCTCAACACCTTCTTCTCTTCTCCAATTCTCATATATCCAAGTGGTTGTTCGACATAGATTTCTTCTTCGAGCACACCATTCAAAAATGTTGTCTTGACATCCATTTGAAATATTGGCCATTTGAATTGGGCAGCTTGAGAAATGAGTAATCGAATTGTCTCCATTCTTGCAACAGGCGCAAACACTTCGTCATAGTCAATTCCTGCTTTCTATTTGTATCCCTTTGCAACCAGATGTGCTTTGAATCTTTCGATTTCTCCTTGAGCATTCATCTTTTTCTTGAATACCCACTTTATACCAATGGGTTGACTACCTCTTGGCAACTCGACTAGCTCCCAAGTATTGTTGCGTTCGATTGCTCTAATATCTTCGTCCATGGCACTTTTCCACTTCTTGTCTCGTAACGCTTCTTCGACACTGATGGTTTCAGCATCTGCCAGAAGACACACAAGATGCACCTCACTTGTTGAATCATACAAATCTTGCAAACTTCTCATTTTTTGGTTGTAGAGGCTCATCTTCATCTTCAGTTTCTTCATGTTCTGTTGGAATACTTGCTGGTACAACTACAGTTGTTTCTTTGATTGCGTCAATAACCTCTTTCGAATTGTTCCAGTCCCACTTGCTTGCTTCATTCATTCGAACGTCTCTACTCACGATTACTTTCTTGCTTATGGGATTGAAGAGCTTGTACCCTTTCGTCTTCTCATCATATCCAATGAATATGTACTTCTGACTTTTGTCTTCAAGCTTTGTTCTTCGTTGATCTGGTACATGTGCATAAGCTATACTACCAAATACCTTGAGATGAGAAACTATTGGCTTCTGTCCACTCCATGCTTCTTGTGGTGTTTTGTCTTATAACTTTGAATGTGGACATCTATTCTGAATATAAACAGCACATTGTACTGCTTCTGCCCATAATTCTTTCGACATGTTCTTGCTTTTGAGCATTGATCGAATCATGTCAAAAATAGTTCGATTCTTCCTTTCAACCACACCATTTTGCTGAGGTGAATATGGTGCAGTTAGGAATCTCCTTATGCCCTGTTCTTCACAGTACTTCACAAAAGCCATTGAAGTATACTCACCTCCTCTGTCAGATCGAATTGCTTTGATGTGTCTGTCTGTTGCCTTCTCCACCATTACTTTGAACTTTTTGAACACTTCTAATGCTTCAGATTTTTCTTTCAAGAAGTAAACCCAGGTTTTTCTTGAGAAGTCATCAATAAAAGAAATGAAGTACCTTTTTCCACTGAAGGATTCTGGAGTGATTGACCCACATATGTCAGTATGTATCAATTCGAGAATATGTTTAGCTTGATATTCTGCCTTCCTTTGAAATGAGGTTCTTGTTTGTTTGCTGAGCACACATTCTTCACAGAATTTTCCTTCGAAATCCATGTCTGGTAGTCCATGCACCATGTTCCTTTTCGCCAACCTTCTCAAACCAGCATGATGTAGATGACCAAAGCGCATATGCCATAGTGACGCTTTGTCTTGCACTTCGATTTGCAGACATTTCTCTCGAATGTTCCTCAGGTTTAGTTTGTACATTCGATTTCTTTCCATTTCGACACTGGCAATCAGATGTCCTGCTTTGTCCTTCAAATGCAGTGTTCGATCTTTCATAAGTATCGAAGCACCTTTTTCTGTAAGTTGTCTCGGACTTAATATGTTGGTCTTGAGATCTGGTACATAGTAAACGTCTTCGATTGATCCAATCAAGCCATCCTTCTGCAAGTAACTGATTGTGCCCTTTCCTTCGACCTTCACTTTTGATGCATCTCCAAAGGACACATTACCATCTTCAATTTTCTTTATATCTTTAAACAGGTGTTTGTAACCACACATGTGATTACTTGCTCCTGAGTCAAGATACCAAACACTGTCAATGGTGTTGATTTCATTTTGAGCCATCAGGAGAAAGCCTTCATTCGATTCAGCTTCCAAGGCTAGGTTGGTTGTTTCTTCAATCTTCTTTTCGATTCGACAGTCTTTTGCAAGATGTCCCACTTTGTCACAGTTGTAACATTTGTAGGAGTTATAATCCTTCGCATAATAACCATACTTCCCACACTTGTAGCATTCGAAGTTGGAATGATTCGAACGACCACCTCTTTGACCACGTCCTCTGCCACGCCAATTTTGTTGGCTCGATTGTCCTCTTTCAAAGTTGCTACCTCTACCACTTCGACCACTGTCACGACCTCCACGTCCATGTCCTCTTCCTCGAAAGTTGTGAGAAAAGAGTACCTTTTCGTCTTTGTTCGATTCCTTGGTTTGGTTTGCTTCTTCGATTGCTTCTTCTTTCTTTTTCATCTTTCGTTGTTCATGTGTTTCGAGAGAACCAGCGAGCTCTTCGACTGAGAGCGTCGAAAGGTCCTTCGACTCTTCTATTGCACACACAATATTTTCAAACTTGTATGTTAAAGATCTCAAGATCTTTTCAACAACTCGTGCATCAGGTACTGTCTCTCCATTTCTGGTGAGTTGATTCACCACCTTTTGCACACGTGTGATGTAGTCAGATACAATTTCTATATACTTCATTTGTATCCTCTCCAATTCGCCACGAAGAGTTTGGAGTCGAACTTGCTTCACTCGATCTGCTCCTTTGAACACTTTTTCTAACGTGTCCCACGCTTGTTTCGACGTAGTCGAACCAACAATTTTTTCGAAGCCTGATTCATCTATAACCCTGAACAACATGTATAATGCCGTTTTGTCCTTCGATCGCGTCTCTTTCAACGCCTTCGTTTGAGTTGTCGTATATCCCCCAACTTCTGTTGGTTCTTCAAACCCATCATGGGTCACATCTCACGCGTCTAGAGATCCAAGAAGAGGTTTCATTTGGATACTCCAGTTTTCATAATTTGACTTTGTTAGCCGTGGCAACGGCATTTGATTCATCATGTTTGCCATGAGCTCTGATGCCAAATTGTTATATCTAATCAGACTTCAGACAAAACTTTGTATATATATCTCTTGTTTTAAAATAAAATACACTCTTGGTCTTTATATAGACCTAATGGCTTTTACAATTCTAAAAAATCATAACTGCTACTAATAAACTATCATAACTTACTAAACTTTTGTCCTTTCTACTACCATATTTAATATGAAACTTATTACTAATGACATTTAATGTTTATTCAACATAAGGCAACCAAAAGGAAGAAATGTGAATAATGTTGGTATAGGATAGGATCGTTTTCTTGTGATATCAATAGGGACAGGATCAAACAAGAGTAAGAGAAAGTACAATGCTAAGATGGTAGCTAAATGGGGTGCTTTGACATGGTTATTCAACTCTGGTGCAACTCCCGTTCTTGACTGTTTCAATGAAGCAAGCACTAATATGGTTGATTATCATAATTCCGTCCTTTTTACGGCCCTTCAATCTCAAGACAACTACCTCAGAATTCAAGTAAGTAAATATGTTTTTCTCATTATTTTATATATATATATATATATATATATATATATATTAAAATTGTTACAAACTTTACATGGTTGCATAAAACAGGATGATACATTAGAAGGAGAGTCAGCTTCTATGGATATATCTATTAAAGATAATCTGAATAATCTGGTGAAAGCTGGTGAGAATTTATTGAAGAAAAAATTTACTAGAGTGAATC